ATCAGCCCGCCCCATTCTCCCGCTTTCCATCACCCCGCCCCTTTCTCCCGCTTTCCATCTCTCTGCCCCATTCTCCCGCTTTCCATCACCCCGCCCCATTCTCCCGCTTTCCATCACCCCGCCCCATTCTCCCGCTTCCCATCATCCCGCCCCATTCCCCCGCTTTCCATCACCCCTCCCCATTCTCCCCTCTTCCATCACCCCGCCCCATTCTCCCGCTTTCCATCACCCCGCCCCATTCTCCCTCCTTCCATCACCCCGCCCCATTCTCCCTCCTTCCATCACCCTGCCCCATTCTCCCGCTTTCCATCACCCCGCCCCATTCTCCCGCTTCCCATAACCCCACCCCATTCTCACGCTTTCCATCACCCCGCCACAATCTTCCACTTTCCATCACCCCGCCCCCTTCTCTCTCCTTCCATCACCCCGCCCCATTCTCCTTCCTTCCATCACCCCGCCCCATTCTCCCGCTTTCCATCAGCTCGCCCCATTCTCCCGCTTTCCATCATCCCTCCCCTTTCTCCCGCTTTCCATCTCCCTGCCCCATTCTCCTGCTTTCCATCACCCCGCCCCATTCTCCCGCTTTCCATCACCCCACCCCATTCTTCCGCTTCCCATCATCCCGCCGCATTCCCCCGCTTTCCATCACCCCTCCCCATTCTCCCTCCTTCTATCACCCCGCCCCATTCTCTCGCTTTCCATCACCCGCCCCATTCTCCCGCTTTCCATCACCCCGACCGATTCTCCCGCTTTCCATCACCCCGCCCCATTCTCCCTCCTTCCATCACCCCGCCCCATTCTCCCGCTTTCCATCACCCCGCCCCATTCTCCCTCCTTCCATAACCCCGCCCCATTCTCCCTCATTCCATCACCCCGCTCCATTCTCCCGCTTTCCATCACCCCGCGCCATTCTCCCGCTTCCCATAACCCCACCCCATTCTCTCGCTTTCCATCACCCCGCCACATTTTCCCACTTTCCATCACCCCGCCCCCTTCTCTCTCCTTCCATCACCCCGCCCCATTCTCCCTCCTTCCATCACCCCGCCCCATTCTCCCGCTTTCCATCAGCCCACCCCATTCTCCAGCTTTCCATCACCCCGCCCCTTTCTCCCGCTTTCCATCTCCCCGCCCCATTCTCCCGCTTTCCATCAGAGCGCCCCATTCTCCCGCTTTCCATCACCCCGCCCCATTCTTCCGCTTCCCATCATCCCGCCCCATTCCCCCGCTTTCCATCACCCCTCCCCATTCTCCCTCCTTCCATCACCCCGCCCCTTTCTCCCGCTTTCCATCTCCCGGCCCTTTCTCCCGCTTTCCATCACCCGCCCCATTCTCCCGCTTTCCATCACCTCGCCCCATTCTCCCGCTTTCCATCACCCCGCCCCATTCTTCTGCTTTCCATCACCCCGCCCCATTCTCCCGCTTTCCATCACCCTGCCCCATTCACCCGCTTTCCATCACCCGCCCCATTCTCCCACTTTCCATCACACCGCCCCATTCTCCCGCTTTCCATCACCCCGCCCCATTCTCCCGCTTTTCATCACCCCGCCCCATTCTCCCGCTTTCCAACACCCCGGCCCATTCTCTCGCTTTCCATCACCCCGCCCCCTTCTTCCTCTTTCCATCACCCCGCCCCATTCTCCCTCCTTCCTTCACCCCGCCCCATTCTCCCGCTTTCCATCACTCTGCCCCATTCCTCCGCTTTCCATCACCCCGCACCATTCTCCCACTTTCCATCACCCCGCCCCATTCTCCCGCTTTCCATCACCCTGCCCCATTCTCCCGCTTTCCATCACCCCGCCCCCTTCTCCCTCCTTCCATCACCCCGCCCCATTCTCCCTCCTTCCATCACCCCGCCCCATTCTCCCGCTTTCCATCAGCCCGCCCCATTCTCCCGCTTTCCATCACCCCGCCCCTTTCTCCCGCTTTTAATCTCCCTGCCCCATTCTCCCGCTTTCCATCACCCCGCCCCATTCTCCCGCTTTCCATCACCCCGCCCCATTCTCCCGCTTCCCATCATCCCGCCCCATTCCCCCGCTTTCCATCCCCCCTCCCCATTCTCCCTTCTTCCATCACCCCGCCCCATTCTCCCGCTTTCCATTACACGCCCCATTCTCCCGCTTTCCATCACCCCGCCCCATTCTCCTGCTTTCCATCACCCAGCCCCATTCACCTGCTTTCCATCACCCGCCCCATTCTCCCGCTTTCCATCACCCCGCCCCATTCTCCCACTTTCCATCACCCCCCCCCATTCTCCCGCTTTTCATCACCCCGCCCCATTCTCCCGCTTTCCAACACCCCGCCCCATTCTCCCGCTTTCCATCACCCCGCCCCATTCTCCCGCTTTCCATCACCCCGCCCCATTCTCCCTCCTTCCATCACCCCGCCTCATTCTCCCTGCTTCCATCACCCCGCCCCATTCTCCCGCTTTCCATCACCCCGCCCCATTCTCCCGCTTTCCATCACCCCGCCCCATTCTTCCGCTTCCCATCATCCCGCCGCATTCCTCCGCTTTCCATCACCCCTCCCCATTCTCCCTCCTTCTATCACCCCGCCCCATTCTCTCACTTTCCATCACCCCGCCCCATTCTCCCGCTTTCCATCACCCCGACCCATTCTCCCGCTTTCCATCACCCCGCCCCATTCTCCCTCCTTCCATCACCCCGCCCCATTCTCCCGCTTTCCATCACCCCGCCCCATTCTCCCTCCTTCCATCACCCCGCCCCATTCTCCCTCATTCCATCACCCCGCTCCATTCTCCCGCTTTCCATCACCCCGCGCCATTCTCCCGCTTCCCATAACCCCACCCCATTCTCCCGCTTTCCATCACCCCGCCTCATTTTCCCACTTTCCATCACCCCGCCCCCTTCTCTCTCCTTCCATCACCCCGCCCCATTCTCCCTCCTTCCATCACCCCGCCCCATTCTCCCGCTTTCCATCAGCCCGCCCCATTCTCCAGCTTTCCATCACCCCGCCCCTTTCTCCCGCTTTCCATCTCCCCGCCCCATTCTCCCGCTTTCCATCAGACCGCCCCATTCTCCCGCTTTCCATCACCCCGCCCCATTCTTCCGCTTCCCATCATCCCGCCCCATTCCCCCGCTTTCCATCACCCCTCCCCATTCTCCCTCCTTCCATCACCCCGCCCCTTTCTCCCGCTTTCCATCTCCCTCCCCATTCTCCCGCTTTCCATCACCCGCCCCATTCTCCCGCTTTCCATCACCTCGCCCCATTCTCTCGCTTTCCATCACCCCACCCCATTCTTCTGCTTTCCATCACCCCGCCCCATTCTCCCGCTTTCCATCACCCTGCCCCATTCTCCTGCTTTCCATCACCCGCCCCATTCTCCCGCTTTCCATAACACCGCCCCATTCTCCCGCTTTCCATCACCCCGCCCCATTCTCCCGCTTTTCATCACCCCGCCCCATTCTCCCGCTTTCCAACACCCCGGCCCATTCTCTCGCTTTCCATCATCCCGCCCCCTTCTCCCTCCTTCCTTCACCCCGCCCCATTCTCCCGCTTTCCATCACCCTGCCCCATTCCTCCGCTTTCCATCACCCCGCACCATTCTCCCACTTTCCATCACCCCGCCCCATTCTCCCGCTTTCCATCACCCTGCCCCATTCTCCCGCTTTCCATCACCCCGCGCCATTCTTCCGCTTTCCATCACCCCGCCCCCTTCTCCCTCCTTCCATCACCCCGCCCCATTCTCCCTCCTTCCATCACCCCGCCCCATTCTCCCGCTTTCCATCAGCCCGCCCCATTCTCCCGCTTTCCATCATCCCGCCCCTTTCTCCCGCTTTCCATCTCCCTGCCCCATTCTCCCGCTTTCCATCACCCCGCCCCATTCTCCCGCTTTCCATCACCCCGCCCCATTCTCCTGCTTCCCATCATCCCGCCCCATTCCCCCACTTTCCATCACCCCTCCCCATTCTCCCTCCTTCCATCACCCCGCCCCATTCTCCCGCTTTCCATTACACGCCCCATTCTCCCGCTTTCCATCACCCCGCCCCATTCTCCTGCTTTCCATCACCCAGCCCCATTCACCCGCTTTCCATCACCCGCCCCATTCTCCCACTTTCCATCACCCCGCCCCATTCTCCCACTTTCCATCACCCCGCCCCATTCTCCCGCTTTTTATCACCCCGCCCCATTCTCCCGCTTTTTATCACCCCGCCCCATTCTCCCGCTTTCCATCACCCCGCCCCATTCTCCCGCTTTTCATCACCCCGCCCCATTCTCCCGCTTTCCAACACCCCGGCCCATTCTCTCGCTTTCCATCATCCCGCCCCCTTCTCCCTCCTTCCTTCACCCCGCCCCATTCTCCCGCTTTCCATCACCCTGCCCCATTCCTCCGCTTTCCATCACCCCGCACCATTCTCCCACTTTCCATCACCCCGCCCCATTCTCCCGCTTTCCATCACCCTGCCCCATTCTCCCGCTTTCCATCACCCCGCGCCATTCTTCCGCTTTCCATCACCCCGCCCCCTTCTCCCTCCTTCCATCACCCCGCCCCATTCTCCCTCCTTCCATCACCCCGCCCCATTCTCCCGCTTTCCATCAGCCCGCCCCATTCTCCCGCTTTCCATCACCCCGCCCCTTTCTCCCGCTTTCCATCTCCCTGCCCCATTCTCCCGCTTTCCATCACCCCGCCCCATTCTCCCGCTTTCCATCACCCCGCCCCATTCTCCTGCTTCCCATCATCCCGCCCCATTCCCCCACTTTCCATCACCCCTCCCCATTCTCCCTCCTTCCATCACCCCGCCCCATTCTCCCGCTTTCCATTACACGCCCCATTCTCCCGCTTTCCATCACCCCGCCCCATTCTCCTGCTTTCCATCACCCAGCCCCATTCACCCGCTTTCCATCACCCGCCCCATTCTCTCACTTTCCATCACCCCGCCCCATTCTCCCACTTTCCATCACCCCGCCCCATTCTCCCGCTTTTTATCACCCCGCCCCATTCTCCCGCTTTCCAACACCCCGGCCCATTCTCCCGCTTTCCATCACCCCGCCCCATTCTCCCGCTTTCCATCACCCCGCCCCATTCTCCCTCCTTCCATCACCCCGCCTCATTCTCCCTGCTTCCATCACCCCGCCCCATTCTCCCGCTTTCCATCACCCCGCCCCATTCTCCCGCTTTCCATCACCCCGCCCCATTCAATAGTTTTCTTGGTCCAGAAGCTTGCCTAGTCCAAGAGCTTGCGTGGTCCAGGAGCGTGCCTGGTCCAGGAGTTTGCATGGTACAGGAGCTTGCGTGGTCCAGGAGCTTGACAGGTCCATAAGCCTGCCTGGTCCAAAAGCTTTGGTGGTCCAGGAGCGTGCTTGATCCAAGAGCTTGCGTGGTCTAAGAGCTTGCCTGGTCCAAGAGCTTGCCTGGTCCAGGACCTTCCCTGGTCCAAGAGCTTGCCTGGTCCAGGAGCTTGCCTGGTCCACAAGACTACCTGGTTCAGGAGCTTCCCTGGTCCACGAGCTTGCCTGGTCCAAGAGCTTGTGAAGTTTAGGAGCGTGCCTGGTCCAGGAGCTTGCCTGGTCCAGGAGCGTGCCTGGTCCACGAGCTTGCCTTGTCCAAGAGTTTGCCTGGTCCACGACCTTGCCTGGTCTAGGAGTTTGCCTGGTCCAGGAGCATGCCTGGTCCAGGAGCGTTCCTGGTCCACGAGCTTGCCTAGTCCATGAGCTTGCCTGGTCTAGGATCTTGCCTGGTCCAGGAGCGTGCCTGGTCCACGAGTTTGCATGGTCCAGGAGCTTGCCTTTTCCACGAGCTTGCCCGGTCCAGGAGCTTGCCTGGTCCACAAGCCTACGTGGTCCAAGAGCTTGCCTGGTCCAAGAGCTTGCGTGGTCTAGGAGCTTGCCTGGTCCTGGAGCTTGCCTGGTCGAGGAGCGTGCCTGGTCCTGGAGCTTGCCTGGTCCACGAGCTTGCCTGGTCCAGGAGCTTGCCTGGTCCACAAGCTTGCCCGGTCCACGAGCTTGCCTGGTCTAGGAGCTTGCCCGGTCCACGAGCTTGCCAGGTCCACGAGCTTGCCTGGTCCACGAGCTTGCCTGGTCCACGAGCTTGCCTGGTCCACAAGCGTGCCTGATCCACGAGCTTGCCTGGTCCACGAGCTTGCCCGGTCCACGAGCTTGCCCGGCCCACGAGCTTGCCTGGTCCACGAGCTTGCCTGGTCCACGAGCTTGCCTGGTCCACGAGCTTGCCTGGTCCACGAGCTTGCCTGGTCCACAGGCTTCTGGACCATGCAAGCTCCTGGACCAGGCATGCTCCTGGACCAGGCAAGCTCCTCGACCAGGCAAGCTCCTGGACAAGGCAAGCTCCTGGACCAAGCAAGCTCCTGGACTAGGCAAGCTCCTGGACCAGGAACGCTCGTGGACCATGCACGCTCCTGGACCAGGCAAGCTCTTGGACCCGGCAGGCCCGTGGACCAGGCAAGCTCTTGGACCACGCAAGCCCTTGGACCAGGCTCGCTCGTGGACCAGGCACATTCCTAGTCCTGGCACGCTCTTGGACCAGGCAAGTTCGTGGATCAGGCTCGCTCCTGGACCAGGCAAGCTCCTAGACCAAGCAAGCTCCTGGAGCACGCAAGCTCTTGGACCAGGAAAGCTCCTGGACCAGTCAAGCTCCTAGACCAGACAAGCTCCTGGACCAGGCAAGCTCCTGGACCAGGCAAGCTCCTGGACAAGGCAAGCTCCTAGACCAGGCAAGCTCGTGGACCAGTCAAGCTCCTGGACCAGGCACGCTCCTGGACCATGCACGCTCCTCGACCAGGCAAGCTCTTGGACCCGGTAGGCTCGTGGACCAGGCAAGCTCCTGGACCACGCAAGCCCCTGGACTAGGCAAGCTCCTGGACCAGGCTCGCTCATGGACCAGGCACACTCCTGGTCCAGGCACGCTCTTGGACCAGGCAAGCTCGTGGATCAGGCTCGCTCCTGGACCACGCAAGCTCCTAGACCAAGCAAGCTCCTAGAGCAGGCAAGCTCTTGGACCAGGAAAGCTCCTCGACCAGGCAAGCTCCTGGACGAGGCAAGCTAACGGACCAAGAAAGCTCCTGGACAAGGCAAGCTCCAGGAACAGGCAAGCTCGTGGACCAGGCAAGCTCGTGGACCAGGCAAGCTCCTGAACCAGGCAGTCTTGTGGACCAGGCAAGCTCCTGGACCAGGCAAGCTCCTAGACAAGGCAAGCTCCTAGACCAGGCAAGCTCGTGGACCAGTCAAGCTCCTGGACCAGGCACGCTCCTGGACCATGCACGCTCCTGGAACAGGCAAGCTCTTGGACCCGGTAGGCTCGTGGACCAGGCAAGCTCCTGGACCACGCAAGCCCCTGGACTAGGCAAGCTCCTGGACCAGGCTCGCTCATGGACCAGGCACACTCCTGGTCCAGGCACGCTCTTGGACCAGGCAAGCTCGTGGATCAGGCTCGCTCCTGGACCACGCAAGCTCCTAGACCAAGCAAGCTCCTGGAGCAGGCAAGCTCTTGGACCAGGAAAGCTCTTGGACCAGGCAAGCTCCTGGACGAGGCAAGCTAACGGACAAAGAAAGCTCCTGGACAAGGCAAGCTCCTGGACTAGGCACGCTCGTGGAACAGGCAAGCTTCTGGACCAGGCAAGCTCCTGGACCAGGATAGCTCTTGGACTAGGCAAGCTCCAAGACCAGGAACGCTCGTGGACCATGCAAGCTCGTGGACCAGGCACGCTCTTGGACTAGGCAAGCTCCTGGACCAAGCAAGCTCCTAGACCAGGCAAGGTCTTGGACTTGGCAAGCTCCAGGATCAGGCAAGCTCTTGGATCAGGCAAGCTCCTAGACCAGGCAAGCACCTAGACCAGGCAAGCTCCTAGACCAGGCAAGCACCTGGATCAGGCAAGCTCCTAGACCAGGCAAGCTCCTAGATTAGGCAAGCTCCTAGACCAGGCAAGCTCTTGGACCAGGCAAGCTCTTGGACCAAGCAAGCTCCTGGACCAGGCAAGCTCCTGGACTAGGCAAGCTCCTGGACAAGGCAAGCTCCAAGACCAGGCAAGCTCTTGGACCAGGCAAGCTCCTAGACCAGGCAAGCTCTTGGAACAGGCAAGCTCTTGGACCAGGCAAGCTCCTGGACTAGGCAAGCTCTTGGACCAAGCAAGCTCCTGGACCAGGCAAGCTCTTGGACCAGGCAAGCTCTTGGACGAGGCACACTCGTGGACCAGGCACACTCCTGGACCAGGCAAGCTCATGGACTAGGCAAGCTCCTTCACCAGGCAAGCTCGTGGACTAGGCAAGCTTCTGGACCAGGCAAGCTCCTCGACCAGGCACGCTCCTGGACCAGGCAAGCTCCTGGACTAGGCAAGCTCCTGTACCAGGCAAGCTCCTGGACCAGGCATCCTCTTGGACCAGGCA